CTTGTGACATACTATCTTCATTCTGCATCCACCCCTTCACACCTCCCCTTTCCTATAGAGAAAAGAAGGCATAAATTATTCATTGTTAATAGCAATAAGCACAATGAAAGCAAAAAACAAGCAACAACCTAGAAACATTTTTAAAGCACAGCTTACAAACACATTTTTCAGAACTACAAAAGTCAGAGTCTACTACAATATGGCTGCTTAGTAAACTGAGAGCCAGCCAGACTTCGGCCTCATTCGTATTCAACAAATTCAACTAATCAGCCAAGCTATAATGGACTCTAATGATAGGTATTCATTGTAAGAATCCCTTTTCAGGCCCATAGCTCCTGTTGCCATGGTGATTAAAGGTAGAGGGAATGAGTGCATAAACTTCGTGATATTTATTAATGTAAACTCTATACGGACTAGTCTTTTGGTTATCTAACCAATTACTGTATATTTTCGTTTAAGTCACTCAAAAGGCATTTATTGGGCATCTACCACTTGCATAATGCTGAGAGAGTGAGATTAATTATATGGTCACCCTATATCACCCAGAATGCAGTCTCCCATAAAGAAAGAAATATGCAGGCCTTAATTATCTAGTAATGAAAACTAACTACCCAAATTTTAATACATCTACAAGTAATTAGGTTCAAATCCAATATGTAATAGAGTGTAATAGATGGTGAGTGCCCTCAAGGACTTTACTGAGTGAGATGATGTGGTTTCATAGTAAAGTACAATTTAAGCTGAATCTTAAATAATTTGTAAGACCAGATAGACAGAGAGGAGGAGTAAAGGCATGTGTGGCAGGGAAACAGTGTGAGCAAAGACAGAAGTGTGCATATTCAATGATTTTTGAAGAAAATATGAATTTTATACATTTCATATTTATGCATATTTAATTATTCAATATGTTTAATCTGACCAGGGATTGTAGGAACTGCATTGAATGAAGGAGCTATGTTTAACCATTACGGCCCCTCAGCAAATCTATCCATGTCCAAACAACTCTACTAGGTAAACTTTTCCTGCCCTCAGCTCTCCACTTTACAACTGTGAGTTCCTTTAGATTTGTCTCAAATACATTCCTCCCCAAAGTTCTGGAGACCTTGTTTCCCATTAACAGAATTAATGTATAAGAGACACTATGTGCTATAGGATCTTCATTGTTTCCCTAAGGCTATGGACAATCTTGGATATTCACAGAGCAAGCATAACTTTCTCTCCTCTGAAAAACTGGACCTAATTAACTCATAGGGGCCCATCTAAATGATTCCTTTTTGTTACTTTCAGGGGGCCTCAGCCAGTACTGTCTTGACCTTGGGCACTGCTTCAAATCTTCATTATTTTCTATGGTGCTAATAAGTTGTTTAAAATCTTTATTAATATCCAGCCTGGCGCGGTGGCTCACGCCTGTAATCCTAGCACTCTGGGAGGCCGAGGCGGGCGGATTGTTTGAGCTCAGGAGTTCGAAACCAGCCTGAGCAATAGCAAGACCCTGTCTCTACTAAAAATAGAAAAGACATTAATCGGACAACTGAAAATACATAGAACAAAAAAAATTAGCCAGGCATGGTGGCTCATGCCTGTAGTCCCAACTACTTGGGAGACTGAGGCAGAAGGATTGCTTGAGCCCAGGAGTTTGAGGTTGCTGTGAGCTAGGCTGACGCCACGGCACTCACTCTAGCCAGGGCAACAGAGTGAGACTCTGTCTCAAAAAATCTTTATTAATATCCTTTGTGTTGTTATGAGAATTTGAAAAGGATACTTAATCTCCCCTCCCTGATTTCATTCTTAATACTGCCTTTATGTGTCCTTTGGTGAAATAGTCACTATATTTTAAAAATAAATCTCATCTACATTTCTTACTGAATCTTCACAAAAGTCTCGTGAAGCACAAAGGGCAGATATTATCTTCATATTGCAGTCGAGGAAACAGCTTCAGAGTGGTAAAGTATCTTGCTCAAGATCGCACAGTTAAGAAAAGGCAGAGATGGGAGTAGAACCAACTCTAATTAATATCAATTGGTTATAGCTGTAGACCCAATCTTGACATTCTTAGAACTTGTGCCCTCAGATGTTTTGGGGAGCAAAGAATTGGGAGATGGAGTTCACTACTTGATTGGCTCCAGAAATAATGGTTAGAGGTGATTGCACATAGCCTCTCCTCTAGAAGATCTTCATTGTTTCCCTAAGGCTATGGCCAATCTCTGATATTCAAAGACCAAGCATAACTTTCTCTTCTCTGAAAAAGGAGATTCCTGGAGAATTCTGATAACTTCAGGAGAGATGGTAATATAGTCTGTTTTCTCTGCTTCTCCAAACCTAACGGATAATGTTCATTATTCATGATAGCAACATGCCAATTTCAAAAAATGGATTAATATATATAAAATAGAATTTCAAATGTATAGGGGATTTCTACAAAGTGCCCCTAAAGAGGAG